CGAAGTTTTGTATTGTCGAAGGGGGTACGTGGCCAATGCAGCAAAGGTAGCGCTGAAGCGCTACTCACACTCTTTTGCCTACAAAAGAGGGACGTGAGGCCATTCGCCCTCACCCACGTTTTTCATTTCAAATTGAAATATCAATTTCCATTCTTGTTCACACTAGGGAAGACACAATTGCTTCCGTGCTTCAAGGCCCCGACAACACTCCTCGACGATATATTACAGCGCAACCTCGCAACGATGGCTCCGGTCAACACGGCATTTAATCGCGACAACGCAAATACTTCAAGCCCCGGTATCGCGGCGGAAAATTTAACTCCGGCCGGGACAACCGATTGTCGCGGAAAACGGCCCGCTGAAGCAATTTCAAGCGAGGGTCCTTCAGCGGTCGACCTGCTGCTTGAAGGCACCTTTCGTACCACCTCGTCGGAAGAAACACACGCAACTGCTGCAGTCGCACGTGATTTCCGCTGCTCAGGAGCGCGTGCCTGGTAAGCAGGCGCGTGCCCAACAGAAACGACGACTGCCACTGATGTGGCAATTGACTTGATCGCAGCTGACGCGAGTCAACGCGGGCGCACGACCCAAAAACGCTGGCGAGCGGCACCCTCTGCTGACGTCACGCCAATCAAACCCCCCCTCCCCCCCCCCCCCCTCACCCCTTCCTTCCCTCCTTGACTGCACAGTACCTGCAGGCTCTACTCTCGCTATTGCAGCAGCAGGCGCATGTTACAATGGCTACATCGACTGGCTACATTTCCGCTTCTGCAAAAAAAAAAAAAAAAAAAAAAAAAAAAAAAACGAAAAGCGCCTGTCGCACCTCCCCGTACAGCCAAGGTCGGGCTGCTGACCTAACGATTCGGAACAAGAGCAGCGGGGCAGTCTGGATCTGCGACGTCACGATCACGTACCCCATCACCACAAGGGACCCCGAGGCGAGAAAATGCAGGGGGTGGGCAGCGAGAGAACAAGCAGACAAGATTATCAAACAATACGAGAACAGGCCGGATTCGATAGGCTTCTTCTCATTAGCGGTAGAGACCTACGGCTGCCCCTGTGCGGAGGTGCCAACCTTCCTGAAACTACTAGCAGACACTGCGGCACGGCGACACTTCAACGCCGACCCTCACTCCTTTCAAGCAGCAAATTTTCTGCACCAGTTTCGACATCGGTGGTCAGTTGCCCTCCAGAGGGCCAAATCGGTGGGGTACGTCATGAAGTCTAGCTTGGTAGCAGCAGCCGAGAACCCGCCTGTTGGGGGAATTAGCACAAAGATGTCCCTAGGGGATTGAATGCCGTGCTGGAACCATTTGATGAAGTTGGCTAGGGGGTGCTAAGGGAGGGGGGGGGGTGGGGGGGGGGGGGGGGTGGTTGGGGTGTAGGAAGCTTGGTAGTTAGTTGCTTGTTTGTTGTTTGTGTGATTTTTTGTTTGTTTTGCTCTGTTGTTCGTTGAACCCCTAGCTAGCTATACCTCATGCATGCATGTTCTAGGACTCTATCAATGCAAGGAGCATTTGAGAGAGAAAGGGTCCTAGCCTCTGCCCTCTGCCCCTAGCTCTATGCCCTCTGCTTCTATAGCTATGTAAGAGTCCTCTCTTGGCATTTCTCCTTCATTATTTGTGGTGGCAGATTTTTTCGGCTCGTTCGTTCGAGAGAGCGAGAGAGAAAGAGAGGGTCCTAGCCTCTGGCCTCTGCCCCTAGCCCTCTGCCCTCGGCTTCTATTATTATATAACAGGCCTCTCTTGGCCTCTCTCCTTCATTATATAACACCGCACCTCTGTACAAGTGGCTAGTGGGCTGTGAGGCGGAGCTGCCGGATGACGCGGGAGAGTTGCTGCAAAGCGACAGGGCTTCACCTATTGGCGTGAAATTACAGCACAGATTGGCGACTGCAGTCCACGGGCGGCGGTATGCTACACAGGTGGAAAGTGTACGAGCATTGAATCCCAACCCCAATAACAGGCACACCCAATGGCTGCTATCACTGTCAGGGTATGGGGATGGGGACTGGCTCCATGCTATCCCCCTCATGCCGTCCCTTCGTCTCGGAGGGGCTCACTTTGCCACTGTACTCCAGTTCCGGCTCGGCTTACCCTTCTCCGCCCCTGATGCATGCGATTGTACTTCCACACTGTACACATTTCAACTGCCACCAACTTCATCCCACAGCTTGACCGTTGACCGCGACTTCAGCTCGCCCAGCACTCCGCTGCCGCTTGAACCTTGAACCACTTCTTCCGCCGATCCGCCGCCGCTTGAACATCGCCTAGTGTTGAACCACTTCCTCCGCAGATCCGCCGCCGCTTGATCCTCCACGTACCGTTGACCCTTCTTGGCCGCTAGAGGCAAATGCCTCTAGCGTTACACCTGAACACCGCATTGATGTGAGGGTCATTAGTTTGGGACACCTGTTTGGGAGGGGAGGGACGATAATTTCGGAATGGAGGGACTGTTAATTTGATATGAGAGCAAGGAGAACGACGCCACAGGAAGATCTCTCTTTCCTTGTCAGAGGTTGTTGACATTTTGAGCAGCAGCAGTGAAGACGGCCGTTGAGGAGAGGGAGGAGGAAGAGGTAAACCCAACCCAACCCAAACCAACCCCCCCCCCCCCCCCCCCCCCCAACTAGCTCGCTTAATCTAACGCTCCTAATCGTCCTAGCTGACACCAACTTACAGTCCGTTACCGCGCTAGTTCCTCCCGAGTGCCTGACAAATGGAGGGGGAACGGAGGAGGTGGGAGGGGGAAGGAGTCAAACTCCAGCGCAGCTCCGCCGCTCCTTTGCTCCAACGGTCCGCCGATCCGCTTATCCGCCGCTCTGCTCCATTGCCGCGCCGCCGCTCATTGCTCTGACTCTCCGCCGTCGCTCCGCGCCACCGTCGTTCCGCCGTCGCCCCGTCGCTCCTCTGCTCCTCGCGGATCCTGCTACACGGGCAAAGAGAATGGGTTAGTAAGAGTGAAGTATAAAGCTACTAAAACTGAAACGACGCCCCACCTTGAGTTGTTGCTGCCGTCCCCCCTCCCGCTCCCGCTCCCGTTCGTGCTCCTGCTCCTGCTACACGGGCAAGCGGAATGAGTTCGTAAGAGTGAAGTATAAAGCTACTAAAACTGAAACGACGCCCCACCTTGAGTTGTTGCTGCCGTCCCCCCTCCCGCTCCCGCTCCCGTTCGTGCTCCTGCTCCTGCTACACGGGCAAGCGGAATGAGTTCGTAAGAGTGAAGTATAAAGCTTCTAAAACTGAAACGACGCCCCACCTTGAGTTGTTGCTGTCGTCCCTACTAAAACCAAAACGATACCTCACCTTGAGTTGTTGCTGCCGTCCCCCCTCCCGCTCCCGCTCCCGCTACTGCTCTTGATACAAGGGTAAACAGAAGCTGTTAGTGATTGTGAAGAAAAAAACCTGTTAGATTGAAACGACACCTTACCACGGAGGGTGGTGAGAGAAGTGCCGCCAACCGCCGTGCGAAGGGCCGCGCAACGAGAGAAGCGTCGCCAACCGCCTAGCGAAAAGTCGTACCAATGGCCGTGAGGTGGGAGAGGCGTCGCCTAGAGCCGCGCCAATCGCCGCTCCACGAAGGAAGAAACGAAACGATAACTAGGAAAGCGGAATGAGTGTGGCAGAACAACGGAGAGGGGAGCGAGCTGGAGGAAATGGAGAGAGCGCAGTGATTCCACTATGCTTCCAAGAGCAGACGCTATGCTAGTGTGACTCGTAAGGCGACGGTTGCAAAGGTAGGTTGATAGCAAGGCTGTGGATGATGGTAAGCAGGTCCGCACCACACCTGCGGATGTGAACGTTGGGGGTAAGACATTTTTGCGACAGATCGACGGTCAGGTCTGATCCACCTCGAGCACACACGCGCTCGCCCCGCGCTAGAACACGGCATGAAAGACACGTCACATGATGCCAACAGCAGTGCACGGCATGGAAGACACGTCACGGTAGGAGATACGAATAGAGGCGATGATTTTTTTGCATGCCTCGCTCCTTACTCGTTCAACTAGGCAGCTCCAAGCACGCCGCCCTCCCTGCAAAATAAACATAGCTTTTGCACGCATAGTACCTGAATTTGCTCGGATGCGTACGACATTTGTGACATAGCAAAATACACTTCGCGAATTGACGCAATCCTCAAAAATTCCGTCACAATCACTATCCTTGTCAACCTCCCTTTCTCCTCGTCGCACCTCGCGCCACCCTTCCCATCGCCCTCGCTCTCTCCCCTCCCTTCTCGTCGCCCTTGCTCTCTCCCCTCTTTTCCCGTCGCCCTCACTCTCTCCACTAGTGTCTGCCCTCCTGTCGCCCTGTCTCACCCTAGAACTCCGATTTGATCGGCTTAACATATACCATGGTCTGTACGTAAAGCATTACAGTTCCCGCACCCCCGATCCTCGCTCCCGACGCCCGCCGCCCGCCCCCGACGCCCGCCCCCGACGCCCGCCCCCGTGGCCCGCCCCCAGCGCCCGCCCCCGTTTAGACAGTCAATATGCATACAGTATAGTTTGGAAATTTATTCACTAAAACATACATCTCAATGATGAGAGGCAAAAATAGAATTTTGAGTGGGAGCATGTGAGTATACCCGTTGCTTTATTGCGTCACAACATTTCTGGTTGTGAAAATCTGTGTAGGATAATGTTTTGTATGGTAAATGTGTTAAAATCGAGTAAAACGGGTCAAGCCAGCAAAAAACGCACGTGTTCTAATGAGAGATATTGTGTACGAATAAGACCCCTCTCCATTTTTCTTAGTTGCACGCAATGGTCTTCTTGACCATGCTGCAAACCGCGTCGCGAAATCACGCATCTCAAACGATCCGAGAACTCGTGTCAAGATTTTTATGAAAATTGACACTAATGAATTGTGTATTAAAAGTGCGATTCCAACGAGATTACGTGGGGACATATGCAAAGTTGACGTAGACAAAGGCGATTATGAGGTATCACCCTAACCTGTAAGTCGAATGGAATCTCCCGAGTCGTGAGCGTGAACAACCTAAGTGAACCGAAGATCACCCGAGTCGCGTCCGCCCCCCCCCATCTGGTCGCGCCCGCGCCCGCCGCCCCCATCCGCCCGTCGCCCGCGCCCGCCGCCCCCATCCGCCCGTCGCCCGCGCCCGCCCCCGCCGCCGCCCGTCGCACGCCGCCCGCGCCCGCCGCCACCCACCGCCGCCCGCCGTCGCCCGCCGCCGCCCGTCGCCCGCGCCCGCCGCCGCCCGTCGCCCGCGCCCGCGCCCGCCGCCGCCCGTCGCCCGGCGCCCGCGCCCGCCACCGCCCGTCGCCCACGCCCGCGCCCGCGCCCGCCGCCGCCCGTCGCCCGTCGCCCGCGCCCGCCGCCCCCATCCGCCCGTCGCCCGCGCCCGCCGCCGCCCGCCGCCACCCGTCGCCCGTCGCCCGCGCCCGCCGCCCCCATCCACCCGTCGCCCGCACCCGCCGCCGCCCGTCGCCCGCCGCCCGCGCCCGCCGCCCGCCGCCGCCCGTCGCCCGCGCCCGCGCCCGCCGCCGCCCGGCGCCCGCGCCCGCCGCCGCCCGTCGCCCGCGCCCGCCGCCGCCCGTCGCCCGCGCCCACGCCCGCACCCGCCGCCGCCCGTCGCCCGCGCCCGCCGCCGCCCGTCGTCAGTCGCCCGTGCCTGCGCCCGCCGCCGCCCGTCGCCCGCGCCCGCGCCCGCCGCCGCCCGTGGCCCGCGCCCGCTCCCGCGCCCGCTGCCGCCCGTCGCCCGTCGCCCGCGCCCGCGCCCGCCGCCGCCCGTCGACCGCGCCCGCGCCCGCCGCCGCCCGGCGCCCGCGCCCGCCGCCGCCCTCCGCCCGCGCCCGCGCCCGCCGCCGCCCGCCGCCCGCGCCCGCGCCCGCCGCCGCCCGCCGCTCGCCGCCCGCGCCCGCGCCCGCCGCCGCCCGCCGCCCGCGCCCGCGCCCGCCGCCGCCCGCCGCCCGCGCCCGCGCCCGCGCCCGCCGCCGCCCGCCGCCCGTCGCCCTCGCCCGCGCCCGCCGCCGCCCGCCGCCCGTCGCCCGCGCCCGCGCCCGCCGCCGCCCGCCGCCCGTCGCCCGCGCCCGCGCCCGCCGCCGCCCGCCGCCCGTCGCCCGCGCCCGCGCCCGCCGCCGCCCGCCGCCCGTCGCCCGCGCCCGCGCCCTCCACCGCCCGCCGCCCGTCGCCCGCGCCCGCGCCCTCGCACACCGCCGCCCGTCGCCCGCGCCCGCCGCCTTCGGAGTGACAAGAAAGAAAGGCTGGAACCATAAAGTTGGGTGCATACTAAGGCAACAGTACAACATGGCCCACTAAGCAATCGAAGGATACAGCACAGGTAAGTCCCCAGAATGGGGAGAAAGAAGCAACCGCCTGCGGCAAAAGTTGGAGAGGCCACTACATCAGCCTCACCCGCCTCCCAACCCACTGGAGCAAAGACGCGATCGCAGGGACAAGATCCAGCGGCGACTCTTCACCCGTCGTGGCTACCCTGCGGAAAGCCAAGGCGCCAGGACCATCATCAAGCTCAACATCTTCTGGTTGTAGCGGCAGGTGGAGCACCTCCCACATCGCCTCCGACAATGCCCCTCGAACAAGCCCCTGCTGAACTTCATCAAGCTGAGGGTCACGGGCGACGAGCATCCGACTCTGCACGGCGAGGTGATACTGCTCAAGCACCGTCGCAAGGCGCGTCACGAAGCACTCGATCCGAGACAGGCGCTCCCCGCGCTCAAGATACTCGGCCTCGCCCAGGGGTTCATTCCACCCACTCCCCCACCCAGGCTCGCGGGGATAATTCGGCCAGCCCATGTTCACCCCCCTCAGCTGGGCCAGAGGTGTCTGAGGAGACATCCAAAGGCTCAACCAAGGGAGGAGGGAGGGGGGCTACCGGGGGGGGGGGGGGTGTCGTCCACCCGGGCGAGAGGCGGGAGGGCTACCGGGGAACTGCGGTGGGGGTGAAGACGGTAGAAGCAGACGGACTCGTCAAAGGTGACATCGCGGGAGGACACCACACGACGAGAGCCCGGGTGGTAAAACTTCCAGGGCGGTGCGTCGGTGGGAAAGCCAAGGAACACGCACCGAAGAGTGCGTGGAGAGAGCTTGCCCGCAGGCAAATCGCGGACAAGAGAGAGGGAACCCCAGACCCGAAACGCCGACGCATCACCAACCTCGCCCGTCCACCGCAAAGTGGGGGAGGTCTCCGGGTGGGAGACACGGGGCCAGAGGTTGAGCTGCTCAGCGGCGTATCGGACCGCAAACGGCCACAGAAAATGGGGAGCAGCCGCATGGATCATGGAGGTGCGAGCAACCTCCGTGACTAGACCAATGCGGCGCTCGGCAATCCCATTATGCTGTGGAGAGGCCGAAAGCGTGTACGACTGGACGATGCCCTCTGCACCACAGAAGTCCTCGAGGAGGCGGGAGCAAAACTCACGGCCTCGGTCAGAGTGCTACTGCAGGACTGGAAGGTCCTCACGGAACCGAGCGCGAAGCTGGAGACGAACAGCGCGGATCCAGCGGATCAAGACACCGCGGACATCCGCCTTGCTTTGCAAGGGGAAGACCGTGGTGTAGCGCATGTAGTCGTCGACAACCAGCAGAAAGTAGCGCTCGCCACCCTGTCCAGTGACGCGGGTGGGGCCCCACACGTCCATGTGCAGGGTCTGCAAAGGAGGAGTGGTAGGAGGAAACGAGGAGGATTGAGGAGCGGCGCGCTGCCGCCCCTCGAGGCAGGGAAGGCAGGGCGGTGCAAGAGACCTTGGAAGCGGGGGTAGGGACTTGGGGAGACCCGATACAAGGAGACGGGAGTGCATGCCATGCAGGCGTGGCAAGGGGGGTGGCCAAGACGGTGGTGCCAGAGGAGAGTCTGGTGCGTGAGGAGATGACACGAACAAGAAGCAACGACCTTAACCGACGCAGCTACCTGACCTGACTCAGCTACCAGTGCAGACTCAGTGGTCAGTATGTACAGGCCAGACCCAGGCCTCCGAATGAACGTGGCGAGGTGCTCACCAGTGCGCGAGACCGTACAGACCGCCACGAGCTCGCCTCCAGGCTGGGTGAAAGTGACCCATTGGTCCTGGAGGACAGAGGTAGCCACCAAGTTCTTAGCGAACGAGGGGAGGTGGAGACCTGTGAGGAGGCCGGAAGGGGCCGCCGGACAAGGGAGAACCGTAGCGCCACGCGCGACTACTGGGCCCCCGGAGGGGTCGGCCAGTGTGACAGGGACACGGGCTGTGAGCGGTGTGACTGTGGTGCTGTCGCGGAAGAAGCAGCGAGACGCGCCTGAGTCTAGGGTAAAAGTGTGCAAGGCCTCCTCAGGATCTGCCCCTGCGCTAGCTGAATCACACGCACCGAGACTAGTAGCCTCTATGCCAGCAGGTGCCTCTACACCCCTAGTACGCGTACACTCCGCCACCGGGGCTGCCCCACCGGACAGCCCACTCACGAAGCTGCTGCGGGGAGAGAGTCTACAGCGGACGCTGCTGCTGCTGCTGTCCACCCCCAAAACCTCCTCGTCTACCAGCAGGAGTAGACTCACAGGTACCTCCAGTAGTAGCAGACAGCCCACTCACGACGCTGCTGTGGCGAAAGCGGCTTCCGCCGACGAGCACGGCTATCTCCGCCACCGGGGCTTCCCCACCAAATAGCCCACTCGCGAAGCTGCTGCGGCGAGAGAGACTCACGCACACTCGGCTGCCCCTGCCGTATGACAGTGATAGTGGCCATGGTAGGCAGTGTAAGTCAGCAGCAGCGGCGCAAGGTTTATTGTAGCGACTGCCGTGGCGGTAGCTGGAACGGTAGGTGCAGTGGCAACAGTGGTAGGAGAAATAGCGATAACAACTGTAGGAGCGTGCGCAGGCGGTAGCGGCAGCTGGCGGTACGCTCGGGGCAGGGCAGGAGCGCGCAGGCAGCGCGAGCACGCAGGGCAGGTCAGCGCGGGCAGCGTGCAGGGAAGCTATAGCGGCAGCCAAGCAGGGCAAGGCAGGCCTGTGCAGCGTGCAGGGCAGCGCTGGCGTGGACAGTGCATGGCGCTGGCGCGGGCAGGGCGCTGGCGCGGGCAGGGCAGGGCGCTAGCACGCGCAGGGCAGGGCGCTGGCGCGTGGCGCAGGCAGGGCAGGGCGCGTGGCGCAGACAAGGCAGGGCACGTGGCGCGCTGGCAGGGCAGAGTGTGCGGCGCAGGCAGGGCAGGGCGCGTGGCGCGCTGGCAGGGCAGGGCGCGCGGCGCAGGCAGGGCAGGGCGCGTGGCGCGCTGGCAGGGCAGGGCGCGCGGCGCAGGCAGGGCAGGGCGCGTGGCTCGCTGGCAGGGCAGGGCGCGTGGCGCGTTGGCAGGGCAGCAGACGGTGCGCGCGCAGGTAGGTGCAGGGCGCGTTGGCGGGGCAGCGCGAGTGCGGGGCAGGGCAGCGCGTGGTTGGGCAAAGCGCACGGGCGGGGCCGGCAAAGCTCTTGCGCGCAGCGCGCGGGTGGGCAGCAGCGTGCGCGTGCAGAGCGCGCGGGCAGGCAGAGGGGCGCAGCTGCAGGCAAAGCGCAAGCAGGCAGGGCGGCGCTCAGGCAGGGCAGCAGGGCGCACGCACGGATAGGGCAGCAAGAGTGCGCAGCAGCAGGGCAGCTGGGCGCGTACAGGCAGGGCAGTAAGGCGGGCGCTGGCGCTAGGCAGCAGGGCAGGAAAACAAAATTTTACAAGTCCGGGCAGGGCGGAACGTTCGGTGGGCCCTAAGGAACGAACCTACTCTAATAGAAGATTAGAATATGGAAACGGGAATGAATGAACTATGCAGGATGGAGATACAAGTCGTAAACCCTAAAAGGATTGTCCCCTCTACAGTGTACCCCAGTATAGACTACAGCACTATAAATGCATAATTTGATACTTTGCCTGCACACATGTATTGATGAGAGGGCGGCGGGGGCCGGGCGCGGCCGGCGGGGGGCGGGTGCGGGCGACGGGGGGGGGGGGGGGGGGGGGGGGGGGGGGGGGGGGGGGGGGGGGGGGGGGGAGGGGGGGGGGGGGGCGGGCCGCGGGGGGCGAGCGCGGGCGGCGGGGGAGGCGCGGGCCGCGGGGGGCGGGCGCGGGCGCCGGGGTCGGGAAATTCCCCCCCACCCCTCTTCCAACCATTCGCTCGTTCCGCCGGGTTTCGTTAGGGTTTCCATACAACGCCTCGACATTATGCCATGCACACACGCTGCGCGTGCCTTGCAACATTGGCGGTTTCCCAACCGGAATTGCATTAGGTGTTAAGCGAGAGTGTGACTGCGCGAGCGAGGGTGAGTGCGCCAGTGGGCAGCTGGGGCTGAGTGACGTTTCCCCGCTCTCGCGGTGAGGGTGAGCACACGCGCGGTGAGGGTGAGTACTGAAACCATGAGTAGGGTAAGAGGTTCAAAAACATTGTCTAGCTTATAGGTTGTATTTGTATACATCCTTTAACGGCGCCCACATATTTCAACTCTCCATCGTGCATTGGAGGATGTTGACATGGTTTCAGAGCAGGTCCTCTCATAGGACCAGTTTTTTTAGGGCCCACCGTATAGCTTGTCAAACTTATATGCTGCTTATTGTGTAATCTATAGTGGGGTAGCACATATGGGGTACAACCCAATTAGGGTTAGCTACTTGTACCCATCTTGCTGCTAGTTCATTCATTCTCGCTTACTGATTCTGACATGGTTTCAGAGCATGCCCTGACTCGTTTCCTGCCCGTAGCGCGTTACCCTGCCCGTAGCGCCCTACCGTGTCCGTCGCGCTGCCCCACCAGTCGCGTTGCCCTGCCCGCGCGCTGCCCTGCTGGCTGCCGCGCTGCCTAGCCCGCGCTCTGCCCTGCCCTGCGTTGTGCCGCCCCGCGCGCGCCCTGCACTGCGTCGCGCAGCCCGCTCACGCCCTGCCCTGCCCCGCGTCGGGCCGCCCTGCGCACGCCCTGCCATGCGTCGCGCTGCCCGCGCACGCCCTGCCCTGCCCCGCGCACGCCCTGCCCTGCTCCGCGTCGCGCTGCCCCGCGCACGCCCTCCCCTGCCCAGCGTCGCGCTGCCCCGCGCACGCCCTGCCCTACCCCCCGTCGCGCCGCCCCTGCAGCCCGCGCGCCGCCCCTGCAGCCCGCGCGCCACCCCTGCGGCCCGCGCGTCGCCCTCTGCAGCCCGCGCGCCGCCCCTGCAGCCCGCGCGCCGCCCCTGCAGCTCGCGCATCGCCCCTGCAGCCCGCACGCCGCCCCTGCAGCCCAGCGCGCCCCGCTGCCCAGCGCGCCAGCTTGTCCCGCTGCCCAGCGCGCCAGCGCGCCCCACTGCCCAGCGCGCCAGCGCGCCCCGCTGCCCAGCGCGCCAGCGCGCCCCGCTGCCCAGCGCCCAGCGCGCCCTGCTTAACCCTAGGTGTCGCCCTTGCTAGCCCGCGCGCCGCCCTGCTGCAGCGCGTCGCCCTACTCTGGCCGCGCGCCGCTCTTCCCTGACCGTGCGCCGCCCCGACCTACCCTAGTGCTTGCTCGCCGCCCTGCCTTCCCTCCGTGCTGCCCAACTGGTCGCGCGCCTCCTTGCTTGCCCGCTATGACGTCTCTTCGTGGTAGCGGTGGGAGTTGTGGCGGCGGTGGTGGCAGCAGTGGGAGTGGCGGCGGCGGCCGTAGTGGCAGTTTCGGTGGAGCTGTTCGGTGGGGAGTTTC